AAGCAGTGGAGGATGGCCCAAGTCCTTGGGCCCCTGCACCCGCATGGGAGATCAGGAGGAAGCTCCTGGCTCCTGGCTTTGGATCGGCACAGCGCTGGCCATTGCAACCAATTGGGGAGTGAACCATTGGATGGAAGACCTTTCTCTCTCTCTCTCTCTCTCTCTGCCTCTCCTCTCTCTGTGTAGCTCTGACTTTCAAATAAATAAATCTTTAAAAAAAATAAAAAACTTTAAAAAGAAATTGTAATTGGTGGGACTGGCACTGTGGTGTAGCAGGTAAAGCCACTGCCTGCAGTGCCAGCATCCCATATAGGCACTGGTTTGAGTCCCAGCTGCTCCACTTCCCATCCAGCTCTCTGCTATGGCCTGGGAAGGCAGAAGAAGATGGCCCAAATTCTTGGACCCCTGTAACCCTGTGGGGGACCTGGAAGAAGCTCCTGGCTTCAGATTGGTGCAGCTCCAGCTGTTACGGCCATTTGGGGAATGAACCAGTGGATGGAAGACCTCTATCTCTCTCTGCCTCTGTATCTCTGTAACTCTGCCTTACGAACAAATAAATAATTCTTTAAAAATATTGTAATTGGTATCGTCAAGGTTATAATTGATATTAGTTTCACGTAGGCCTTAGGTTAGCTTGACCACGGTAACCATGTATTCCCCCTGATCCTAGCAACCATGTATTGCCCCTCCTGTTTTTGTGGTTTTTGCCTTTACAAACCCTGTTGCTTTGGGCTTCAGGGTCGAGCGTTCTTTAGGGCACAAGCCCACTCTCCACCGCCGGCAATAAAGGACCATCAAATTTTATCAACGTATGGTGCTCCTCTGTTTGCCCTCACTCAGGTACAATAGTATCATGAAGTGATTTTGTCACCATGCAAACATCATAGGGTATACTGACACAAACCAAGATGGCTACCACACCATGTGGCGAAAGAATGTTATGGGATCATACTCTTTTTTTTTTAATGTCTTTTTTTTTAAGATTTATTTTATCTATTTGAAAGACAGAGTTACAGAGAAGTAGAGACAGAGAGAGAGGTCTTCCATCCACTGCTTCACTCCCCAGATGTCCCCAATGGCCAGAGCTGTGCCAATCCAAAGCCAGGATCCAGGAGCTTCTTCTAGTTCTCCCACATGGGTGCAGGGGCCCAAGGACTTGGGCCATCCTCTACTGCTTTCCCAGGCCATAGCAGAGAGCTGGATGGGAAGAGGAGCAGCCTGGATTAGAACTGGCACCCACATTGGATGCTGGCATTTCAGGCAAGGGCTTTAACCCACTACACCACAGTGCCGGCCCCGGAACCATACTCCTGCATTAGATTTGTCATTCCTTAAAATCTCATTATCCATTGATGATTGCATTTGAATTTTAAAAGCATATAGGTGACATATTAGAAGTCAGTTATGAATTTCAATCCATGTAAGGAAAACATTCTCTTAAGACTGGAGCTGTGGCATGGTAGGTTGAGCCTCTGCCCGCAGAGCAAATGGGCACCAGTTTGAGTCCCAGCTGCTCCGCTTCCAATTCAGCTCCCTGCTAATGGCCTGGGAGGGCAGTGGAGGATGGCCCAGGTGCATGGGCCCCTGGACCTGCATGGGGGACCCAGAAGAAGCTCACTGTCTAGCTTTGGATCAGCCCAGGTCTGGCCATTGCAACATTTCAGAGGTGAGCCAGTGGGTGGAAGAGCTCTCTCTCTCTCTCTCTCTCTCTTTCCTTCCTTCTCTGTGTCTGTAACTCTGCCTTTCAAATCAATAAACAGAAAAAGAAAATCTCCAAATAAATTGATGAGTCACAGAATTTCAGAGTTCAGAGCTTTCCAGAGAAAGTGACCATTAGACTGGGTTCTTATGAAAAACGAGGTCTACATATAGAACTACCCAGTGTTTATCAGACACATGAGTTCCTGTGATGGGGGTGGGGGGGGCTGCCTGTGCGAGGACCTGTGCTGCTGTATGCTGAAGGTGCGGGAAAGAGAGCAGGGTAGTGGGGGTGGAGACTGAGAAAGGGTGGGGAGCCCACTGTGCAGGCCCTTCTGGAGCTTGGCAAACAGATTACCTCTTGAAGAGCAATAGAAACTGCTCCTCCTGTTTTAAGGAACAGGATTAAAATTGCAATTTAAACAAAGAAAACACATAGGGAGTGGAATAGGGTGAGAGAGAAGGTTATAGGAGGGAGTCACTGAAGAGGCCAGGCGGTCTGAGTGGGTACAGAGGGTCACCAGGTCACTGGGCTCAGGCAGGATCTGGGTTTGCTTCCGGATGGGAATGGGGTGGAGGACTGCAAAGAGTGAGAGTCACTCTAACCCTGGGACATAAACCTGAAAAGGAGGCATCAGGGGCTCAGAGGCCACTGCACTCTGGCTTTGCCGCCTCATGGCTCTGGGCTTTCTGCCGATGCGCTGGTGCCCTGGGGTTCTTTCCCTGCAAGGGCTCCTTGTCCCCAGCTCCTTCCTTGCTCAGAGTCAGTGGCTCAGGGAGTCCCAGCCATCATAGCTACACAGCTGTCCCTGGCTTGGATTGTTCCCACGGTCTCCCCCTGTGTGTGAGGGGAGCAGAGTCCTCCCAGTCACCACCTCTGTCTGTGCCTTCCCCCAACGAGGGCTCTGCGGTCACAAGGACAGGCTCAGCCAGCTGTCAGGGGCAAGGAGCCGGGGTGCACTCAGCCCCATGTCTGCCTGCTCAGGGTGCAGCCGTCCGCTCTTTGCCCTGCACAGGGCACTGTTCACTAAACACAGGGTGAGACCAGAGAGGCCAAGCTCCACCGGAGACCTCAGTTTCCCCACAGCAGACAGGATTAAGGCATTCTAAGCAGATTGGGGATTAATGGATGCTGGAGAGGCAGAGATGAGATCAGCTTCTCACCACCAGGCCCACCCTGGCCTGATGGGATCTCAGGTGATTCCCTCCCTACCAGCAGCCCCTCATGGACACTGGGACCCCGCCCTGCGGTGACCCTCCTTAGGGAGGGGCTTCCAGTCTGGGGCAGGGACTGAAGATGCCCGCCCTCCCGCTGTCCTATTTAGGCAACTCACAGCTAAGCAGATAGCGTGGACCCAGACAGGCTGCAGAAACACTCAGACCTGCTTGGGACTGCTAGGATCACCGGCTCCAGGTAAGCGGGAAGGGGAGGGCCAGGGAGCAGGAGTGCGAGGTCCGAGATTTCACTTCGGGGAAACCACATCTCAGGGCAGGTTACGTATTGTGGCACGTGGGTGCTCTTTTTTTTTGTTTTTTTAAGATTTCATTTATTTGAGAGGTAGCATTATAGCGAGAGGGAGAGACGGAGAGAAAGGTCTTCCTTCCACTGGTTCACTCCCCAGAAGGCTCTGAAGCCAGGAGCTTCCCATGCGGGTGCAGGGCCCAAGCACTTGGGCCACCCTCCACTGCCTTCCCAGGCCACAGCAGAGAGCTGGATGGGAAGAGGAGCAGCCAGGACAGAATCCGGTGCCCATATGGGATGCCGGCGCCGCTGGCAGATGATTAACCTACTGTGCCACAGCAATGGCTGACCCAGGTGCTCTTAAAAGGAATGCTACAGGGCCTGGCACTGTGGCGCAGCAGGTTAAAGCCCTGGCCTGAAGCGCCGGTTTCCCATAAGGGCTCTGGTTCCTCTTCCCATCCAGCTCTCTGCTATGGGCTGGAAAAGCAGTGGAAGATGGCCCAAGTTCTTGGGTCCCTGCACCCGCATGGGAGACCTGGAAGAAGCTCCTGGCTCCTGGCCTCGTATCAGTGCAGCTCTGGCGCAGCTCCCTCTTACTGTCTGTAACTCTACCTCTTATTTTTTTTTTAAAGATTTATTTATTTATTTAAATTTACAGCACGCAAGAGAGACAAAGAGAGCGGTCTTCCATCTGATGGTTCACTCCCCAATTGGCCGCAACAGCCAGAGCTGGGCTGAGCCGAAGCCAGGAGCCAGGAGCTTCTTCCCGGTCTCCCACGTGGGTGCAGGGGCCCAAGGTCTTGGGCCACCTTCCACTGCTTTCCCAGGCCACAGCAGAAAGCTGGATCACAAGAGGAGCAGCTGGTTTTGAACCGGCCCTGATATGGGATGCTGGCGCTTCAGGCCAGGGCATTCAACCGCTGCACCACAGCGCTACCCCACCCTCCCCCCTTTAAAGATTTTATTTATTTGAGATGTAGAGTTACCAACAGTGAGAGGGAGAGACAAAGAGACAGGTCTTCCTTCCGCTGGTTCACTCCCCAAATGACTGAAGCCAGGAGCCAAGAGCTTCTCGGTCTCCCACGTGGGTGCAGGGGCCCAAGCACTTGGGCCATCTTCTACTGCTTTCCCAGGCCACAGCAGAGAGCTGGATGGGAAGAGAGCAGCCGGGACTAGAACGGGTGTCCATATGGGATGCTGGCACCGCAGGCAGAAGATTAAACTACTGTGCTGCAGCGCCGGCCCGACCCAGGTGTTCTTAAATGGAATTGCTACAGCTCTCTGCTGTGGCCTGGAAACCAGGGGAAGCTGACCCAAGTGCTTTGCTTGGGCCCCTGCACCCGCTTGGGAGACTTGGAAGAATCACCTGGCTCCTAGCTTCGGATTGGTGCAGTTTTGGCCATTGCAGCCATGTGGGGGTGAACCAGCAGATGGAAGACCTCTTTCCCTCTCCCTGTCTCTCCCTCTCATTGTCTAACACTACCTCTCAAATAAAAAAAAATAAAAATAAAAAGGAATTGCTACAAAAACCCAGCTCCCCACTGTGTCCTAATGGGAGAGTGGGGAGCAGCCTCTGGGTCTGCCCAGCTGACGGAGGGGCTGGCCTGAGGCCGAGTGTGCCCAGGGGGTACAGTGAGGGAGGGCTGGAGGCTCAGTGGCAAAGGGGGAGTGAGCCCATGGGGCCTGGTTTAGACTCAGGCAACCCTCATCCAACCTGTGGGCATTAAGACATGGGGGCTTAAGTAGGATGCCCGAGTCACTCACATCTTTCTGTTTGTTTAAGATTTCTTTGTTAGAAAGGCAGAGTTTCAGGGTGGGTTGGGGGGGTGTACGGGAGGGAAAGAGATCTTCCCTCTGCTGGTTCACCCCCCAAATGTCTGCAACTGCCTGGGTAGGGCCAGGCCTCACCCTGGGAACAGCTGTCCTGTGAGACAGCATCATGATGGGATTTCTGTATGCGGACGGGATTACAGGAGGCCCTAGGAGTGCTGATGGGGTTGGAGGTCAGGGCTGGTGCAGGCACAGTGAAGGGCAAGGCAGAAGCCTTGGGGGAGGGTGGTAGTGGTGAGAACAAAGGCGTGTGCCCTGAGCTTGAGTCCCGAGCACTTCTGTGGACCAGGCCTGCTGCCGGGAACAGCCTGGCTCTCAGGACATCCTCTCTGAGCAGTCCCAGGTCCCACGTGTGCAATGGAGGAGCCAGGGGCTCAGTTCTCCCTACCCCAGGCTTCCTGCCCCTGCCCTGCCCTTGTGAGCTCTGAGATCTTGGCCAATCAGAGTAGAACACTTTCTCCGGTTCTCCACTCTGCTTCTGGAGTATTTAAAATAATCTATCTTGTGGGGAGCAACCCGGACTAGACTAAGTTACTGGAATTAGGACTTATTCTATGCATCTGCTCTCCCACAATATGGCGCTGGGAGAGGAGAAAACAGCTTCTACACAGCTGCCTCCAGTTCAGCCAATAAACTGTAGGACTTACTCCTGATTTGAGGAGAGCAGCGTACTCGGTGTGTGGGTAGCAGAGTTGGGATTGGCGGAAGAGGACTATAAAGGAGGAGAGAGACAACATGCACCAGGAACATCTAAGGGGAACATCTATCTGAAGGAACACCTGTGCAGCCCCCGAGAGAGCCGGCCGGCGGTGTGCCGTTCCCCCGCGGAAGTGGGGAATGTGGCAGGGGGAACCGCCCTTCCACGGAGGTGGAAGGGTCGGTAGCCAACCCGGGGAGGGCCGAGCAGACCAAAGAACAGCGCAGGGTCCTGTGTCGTTCCTCCATGAAGAGGGGGAGCGACACTATCTGTCTATTTTCCTAATTGTCCGTCTTTGTTTCTATTATTTGCATTTTCATGGTCTCTCTTTTTTTTAATGATTTATTTATTTGAAAGAGTTACACAGAGAGAGGAGAGGCAGAGATCTTCCATCCGCTGGTTCACTCCCCAGATGGCTGCAATGGGCAGAGCTGTGCCGATCAGGAGCCAGGAGCTTCCTCCAGGTCTTCCCACGTAGGTGCAGGGCCTCAAGGACTTGGGCCATCCTCCACTGCTTTCCGAAGCCAGAGCAGAGAGCTGGATCGGAAGTGGAGCAGCAGGGACTCGAATCGGCGCCTGTATTGGTCACGGCACTGGAGGCAGTAGACTTACCTGCTAAGCCACAGCCCCGGCCCCTGCAGGGTCTCTGTGGTGACACCTCCAGGGCCCATGCTCTTTACTTTTTTTTTTTTATTTGACAGAGTTAGACAGTGAGAGAGAGACAAAGAGAAAGGTCTTCCTTCCATTGGTTCACCCCCCAGATGGCTACTATTGCTGGAGCTACACCGATGCGAAGCCAGGAGCCAGGTGCTTCCTCCTGGTCTCCCATGGGAGTGCAGGGGCCCAAACACTTGGGCCATCCTCCACTGCCCTCCCGGGCCACAGCAGAGAGCTGGACTGGAAGAGGAGCAACCAGGACTAGAACCCCGTACCCATATGGGATGCTGGTGCCGCAGGGGGAGGATTAACCAAGTGAGCCAGGTGCTGGCCCCACATTTACATTTTTTACACTTTCAGTTGGCAATCACAGCCTGGAGCTACCCACCCAGACTCGGGGAAACTCAGGTTTCCCCCAGTCTGAAGTGACTGAATCAACAGACTCCTGAAGCACTGTTGTGATCCTCCATTCATTCTGCCTTCAATTGCATGGTGGTTTTTTGATCTTATTTCCAACCTGGGGGTTACCAGGACGCATTTCCTGCAGGTGTCCTGAATTCCAAGTGTGGTTTCCTCAGCTCTGAAAGTCTGCTGAATCTATGCAACCTCACAGCTTCCATCAGAATCGGAAACTGCTTCCAGGAGAAGGCTCCCGTCTTGCTGAGCAGGCCCTCATCCCCGCCAGTCCTTTACTACCTGGTAGCAGCTGCAAGGACGAGGCATTCCTGTATTCTAGCCTGTCTCCTACTGAAGTCCCGACCTCCAGTTTCATTCCATGCACCTTGTGTGGGATCAGTTTCCCTACTCTGCAATGTCTTCATTTACCAGATCTCCCTAGAGTTGGGTGGCCGTATTAGACATTTACCCCAGCGCTGGCCTCACCATCCTTGTTTTTAACATCAAGGTCATAATCATAATATCCTCATCAGACATGATTGTTATCATGAGAGTTTTTTCCCATTTTTTTTTTTAGCAATGTGTGTTTAGATCAGGAAAAATCTAGATTTAACATTTGTGAAATACACACATGGTCTTCATTGCTTTATATAAATATTGTCCTTTTTCCTTCTTGTTTTTTTATGTTGAAGAAACCTGTGCAGTTGGCCTGTCTCAACGTCTGGAACTCCCTCCGTGATCGTGGCTCTTTCATAAGGAAGAAGACTAAACCACCAAGCTTGAATCTGAGGGCAGGTGGATCTGGTGCTGGGGACCAGTGATTTCTGGGTCGCACCTCCTGATAGCTGAAGGGACAGGTGCAGACACAGGTGTGTGGGGCTGTAGTTTCCTGCCCTTCAGGAGAGAGTGCTGGAATCACCAGATTCCCACTGTCCCTAGAATCCCTAGAGAGCCAGACTGACCAAAGAAAGCCTTGGCAGAATCCATCTGTCCTCACATAATGGCCTCTGCAGCTTCGCTGTCTGAGCTCCAGGCACAGGCCAGCTGCCCCATATGCCTGGACTTCATGAGTGACCCAGTGACCACCGAGTGTGGCCATAACTTCTGCTGTTCCTGCATCCAGCAGTGCTGGAAAGATTTAGATGCTATCTTCCCCTGTCCCGTCTGCCAGTACCACTGCCCTGAGCGAAACCTCAAGAGTAATACCCAGTTATGCCAAATGATAGACATTGTGACGCAGCTTCCCGCCACAGGGAGCGAGAGGAAGCCCCTGTGTGAGACGCACGGCCAGGTCCTGGACTTGTTCTGTGAGCAGGACCTGGAGCTGCTGTGTCCCCAGTGCAGGGTCTCCAGGGCCCACGAGGATCACCACCTGGTGCCCCTTGAGGAAGCTGCAGCTCATCACAAGAGGATCCTGGAAACAGACATTGAGTGGCTGCGAGAGCAAGTTAAGGATGCTGAAATGGACCGTGCAATGCAAGCTCGGGAATGTGATGAACTGAAGAACCGGCTGAATAACTGGAGGCAGGAGGCAAAGTCTAAATTTGAGAATCTTCACTACTACCTGAGAAGGGAGCGAGAGGAAGCATACACCAGGCTGGTCTGCAAAGAACAGGGTGTTAAAGACAAGCTAATTGAAAACAAAAGTCAGATTTCAGACCACATAGCCGCAGTGGAAGATCTGTTGAGTGAAATAGCAGAGAAGTGCCTGCAAACAGACGTGGATTTACTGAGAGGGCTTCGGAGTATTAATCACAGGTACGAAGGTCTAAAAGCTCCAGAGATCTTCTCCTTTGAGTTAAAGGAGAGGTGTTGCGTCCTGCCGCGGAGCTTTGGTTTGCAGAAAATGATGAGCACACTTCAGGTGAACTTGACCCTGGATCCTGAAACCGCCCACCCAGATCTAGTTGTCTCCGAAGATGGAAAAATTGTGCTGATGGAAGAAACGAGCCCATCTCATCTCCCCGATCAGTATTTCGCTGTCCGGAGTTGTGAGAAATTCGCTAGTGGGAGGAAGTTTTGGCAGGTACACTCGAGAGGCAGAGGGCTGTGGTCGCTGGGTGTGTGTCAGGAATCGTTCCCCACCGATGCCGACACAGCACCGTGCCCAGACTTCGGCTGCTGGCAAACCGAGCAGTTCATGAGCCGGGTGGAATTTGAAGACAGCTGGATTGGCGTCTTTCTGGACTATGAACTGGGAGAAATATCATTCTATAATTTAAGTAACAATTCCCGCTTGCATACTTACACTGCTACGTTTACGGAAAAGGTCCAGGCTTACTTCTCAGTTCAATCTCAATCACTTGTTACCATCAGGATCATTGAGGAGAGTTGACGAATCATCTAATACAAGATCATTTCATATGTGGCCATGCTTATCTCTCTGTGCTCCTGGAAGTTCCTTGGAATAAAGATTCTGATTCCACTTTGATGTTTGACTGTTGAACTCTTAGCATTCATGTTCCTGCTCTTTCTGCCCCACTGCTGGGAAAGCTGATGAGAAAGTCCAGGTGCTCCCCCTGTCAGTACAAGTGCGAAGATCAAAACAAGAAGCCCCTGGTCAGGCAAGGAACCCTTGTCCCAGCCCTAACTGTAGTCACTCCCATAGAGTCGCCTTTGCCTGCTCTCTTAGTCCCTTGTGGTCCCGCTCAGTAACCACACTGTGTACCCAAGGTTATGTGCAGAAGAAACCATGTCACCTCTTGGTATATGTGTGGCATCCTCAGTCTCAGCTTGTTTTTCTCTAAAGTATATTTTCTATTAATTTTTTTTTAAGATTTTATTTATTTGAGAGGTAGAGTTACAGTGAGAGAGAGAGAGAGGTCTTCCATCTACTGGAATGGCTGCAATGGCTGGAATGGGCCGATTCAGAGCCAGGAGTCAAGAGGTTCTTCCAAGTTTCCCGAGCAGGGCAGGAGCCAAGCACTAGGGCCATCCTCCACTGCTTTCCCAGGCCACAGCAGAGAGCTGGATCGGAAGTGGAGCAGCCGGGACTAGAACCAGCGCCCATATGGGATGCCGGCGCTGCAGGTGAAGGATTAACCCACTGCACTGCAGCATCAGGCCCTCTAAATTATATTTTCTTCTCCTTCCTTCTCTTCTTCCTCCTTCCTCTTTTTTTTGCCCCTCTTTTTTCTTTTATTTTCTCTTTTGAACAGATCGAGGGCCTGCTCATCAAACAGACAGCAGGATAGCAACTGCCACCCTATGACATCAGTGCAAATCCACAAAGTGCCTTAAGAGATTATCCCTTCTGAAGGAAGTTCTTGAACTTTGTGATATGGGTTCATTTTTTGTTGAGGTAGAAAGGGATGTTGAACCAACGGATGGAAGATCTCCCCCTCTCTAACTCTGACTTTCAAATAAATGAATACGTCATAAAATAATTTCCTGGTTCTCAGGATACAGGGAGAAACACACTAGTCGGCCGGCGCCGCGGCTTACTTGGCTAGTCCTCCGCCTGCGGTACAGGCATCCGATGTGGGTGCCGGCTTCTAGTCCCAGTCGGGGCGCCACATTCTCTCCCGGCTGCCCCTCTACCAGGCCAGCTCTCTGCTGTGGCCCAGGAGCGCAGTGGAGGATGGCCCAAGTGCTTGGGCCCTGCACCCCATAGGAGACCAGGAGAAGCACTTGGCTCCTGGCTTCGGATCAGCGCGATGCGCCTGTCGCAGCGGCCATTGGAGGGTGAGCCAACGGAGAAAGGAAGACCTTTCTCTCTCTCACTGTCCACTCTGCTTGTCAAAGAAAAAGAAAAGAAAAACCACACACTAGGCACCCTTGGCACTGGGAAGTATTTATTCTAGTCAGGCTCAGCTCAGGGCTTTTAAACTATAAAGTAACAGTTGCTACAGGGGAGAACCTAAGGCGGACATGGACATGGGGTAAGAAACTTACAAAAATGAGCAGGGTTAAGGGAACATCCCAGAAGTATACTGGGGAGCTGCAACACACAGGAAAACTGTATAAAAAAGGAAGAGAGAGAGACAAAGCAATTGAAACCTGGAGGAAAAAAAAAACAGTGACAGAGATCCATAATTTCACTGGATTTGTATGCAAAATTTATTAAAAGAATGTATACAACAATAAAAAAGATAGAAGTGTCATGGGGGTGACCCTGGGCAGGCTTCGTTGAGGTTCTTGTCTCCATGTGGACAGAATTCAAAGAGAGACTTAGGAGGCTGGTGCTATGGCACAGTGTGTTAAAGCCCCAGCCTTTGATGTCAGCATTCCATGTGGGTGCTGGTTCAAGTCCCCGCTGCTCCACTTCCGATCCAACTCTGCTATTGCCTGGGAAAGCAGTGGAAGACTTGGGCCCCTGCACCTGGATGAGAGACCTGGAAGAAGTTCCTGGCCCCTAGCTTTGGATCGGCACAGCTCCGGCCGTTGCGGCCATTTGGGGAGTGAACCAGCGGATGGAAGACCTCTCTCTTTCTACCTCTCTCTGTAACTCTGTCTTTCAAACAAATAAAATACATCTTAAAAAAAGAGAAGAGACTTACATAAAAGAAGCAAGATTTATTTAAAGGCAAAGACAAAAAGTACACACTTAGGAAGAAGTGCAGGTAACCCTGGTAAGAGCTGCAATCATCAAGGTTTCGGGTAGTCTACATTTTGGGATGCATGGGGGTGGAGTCTGGGGCATTGTTTAATTGAATAGTCAATGAGGGAGGGGTTTGGGGTCAGAGCCTAAGTACCACCCATTTCCTTTGCCCCTTTTTTTGAAAACAGACGTGTCATGGTAAAAGGTGAATGATTGGAGAGGGTGGGCCAGCCATAATTTATAATGACATTGTAATGGCAGCCACAGGCGCCCCATCCGCAGCCGTGCTGAATAATTCTAGGTGGCGTGGGTTCTCAGGCTGGAAGCCCTGAGCTGCATGGCAGGGGCTGGATTTTGGTGGTACCTGCGTGGCTGCTGTGCCTCTTGCAATCCTCAGCCCCTTTTGCTAGCTACCTCCCTACCCCCAGCAAAGGGCGTGACTTTTACCTTTCTATCATCTCGGTACTGATTTAGCCCCATAATCATGTGAGCAGATTTCTTGAAAGAAATCTCTTAAAATTTACCATAAAAGGAATCCAGAAGCATATGACTGCACTGGTGAATTATACAAAACATCAGAAACCAAGTAGCTAGGACTCGAACTGGCACTCTGACGTGGAATGCCAGCATCCCAAGCTGTAGCTTAACCAGCTGCCCTGACGTAATTAAAAAGTAAGAATAATTAGATAGCACAAGGATGACATACTTCCTCAGCACGGTCATTGCTGGACTCCTCTCCTGTTATTTATAGAATATGCGAATAGATGCTCATTCTCATCCAAGGTTCACAGAGAACCACGATTTCCTGCATTTCACTGTTTTGATATTAGCTAGACTCCAAACAGGAAGCACAGGAAAGCTGGCAACTTAAGGAGTTTAATAAGGCACTATTTGCTAAGGATAGGTGGACATTAGAGAAACTCACCAAGGGGTTAAGAGTCCCTCTGAGGCCTGGGTCTCATAAGCGGCATTTTTTAGCACTTCCTCTTACTGTGTTATCAGTGATTAATAGCACAGTACAGTGGTGTTTAGGTGTAGGGGTGACAGCTCACGCCATGAGCATGCGTGCCTGGCCGCCCTGTCACAGAGCATGGTCTCTGCAGATATACTCAAAAGCTCATTTTTGTTCGAGAGAGAGAAAAATTGGTTTTGCATATGAAGGTACTTCAAAAACTCGATAGGAAATAAACCATAAGCTTTCTTGAATGCCAAAAAATGTTGAAACACAGGCCTAGTTTTTTTTTTTAATTTTTTTGACAGGCAGAGTGGACAGAGAGAGAGACAGAGAGAAAGGTCTTCCTTTGACGTTGGTTCACCCTCCCATGGCCGCCACGGCTGGCGCACCGTGCTGATCCGAAGGCAGGAGCCAGGTGCTTTTCCTGGTCTCCCATGGGGTGCAGGGCCCAAGCACTTGGGCCATCCTCCACTGCACTCCCTGGCCACAGCAGAGAGCTGGCCTGGAAGAGGGGCAACCGGGACAGAATCCGGCGCCCCGACCAGAACTAGAACCCGGTATGCCGGTGCTGCAAGGCGGAGGATTAGCCTACTGAGCTGCGGTGCCGGTCAAACTCATACCTAGTTTTTTTTTTTTTTAATATGATTTTACCCATGTGTTTTTGAAGATCCTTTGTGTGTATGAATTTCAACTTTTTTCTTCCTACCAAAATGAACATGTTTTAGTGCTATTTTCCACAAACTTTAACTAGAATTAATTTGCTTGAGAGGCAGAGAGACAGAAAAAGAGCAAAGAGAGAGAGAGCGAGAGTGCACTCCCACCCTCTGGTCTACTCCCCAAATTCCTGCAATGGCTGGAGCGTGGCTAGAACAGAAACTGAGAGCTGGGAATGCAATCTGGGTCTCCCACGTGGGTGGCAGGAATCCAATGACTTGAATCATCATCTCTGTCTCTCAGGGTCTGCATGTATCTCAGAGCCCATAATGTGTAATAGGGCAGGAAGCTGGAGTCAGGAGCCACAGGTGGGAGATGGTGTACTGCAATGTGGGATGTGTGGGTATTAAGTGCCAGGCTATATGCCCACCTCCCGTGAACTTTTTGATGCACCTTCGTATTTATTTTATCCACCAATTTGATTTTTTTTTTTATTTGACAGGTAGAGTTATAGACAGAGAGAGACAGAAAAGGTTTTCCTTCTGTTGGTTCACTCCCCAATGGTCGCCATGGCTAGCACTGCGTCAATCCAAAGCCAGGAACCAGGTGCTTCTTCCTGGTTTCCCATGTGGGTGCAGGGGCCCAAGCACTTGGGCCATCCTCCACTGCCCTCCTGGGCCACAACAGAGAGCTGGACTGGAAGAAGAGAAACCGGGACTAGAACCCGTGCCTATATGGGATGCCGGCGCCTCAGGCAGAGAATTAACCAAGTGAGCCATGGCGCTGGCCCCCACCAATTTGATTTTAAAAGAAATAGAAATTCAAGATTCTCTTATATCTTTTACAAAAGTGTAACTTTCAAAATACCTTTAAAAAATGTTCCAAAAATTTCCAGACCTCTTTAGAAATCCCAACGTCTTTACCTGCAGGTTGGCTTCCCCAATGGGGGGCAATGAGGTTGGGCCTCAGCCTCCACTGAGTGGCACCACCAAGGAGATTTCCTGAGCATAACGTATTTTTTTGTTTTGTGAAACACTGCACACAGTTTATTATACACAATAGGTTACATACAAAAGTAAATCCATGTACTCGTTGAAAGAGTCATTTAATTTAGATGGCAAGATATTATAGGAAAAAAAATCCAGATGGATACAAAACATATTACTGACACTGTTTATCTTGGGGAGGTATCTGATGAGAGTAGAAGAGAAATGTGTGACAAAACCCATTCATACTTCTTTACCTCCCACATTGCCATATCCTAGGAAATTATCATTGTTTGCCTTCCTAATTTTTTTTCTTGTTTTTCTTTGAGAACAAGTTTCACTATTGACTCTCATACAACTCTTTGAGGACAGAGGTCCTGCACGGGAAGTTAGTGCACAGTGACTCCTGTTGTTAATTTAACAATTAACACTCTTATGAATGACTTCATGATCACCCGAGGCTCTTGACAAGAGCTGCCATGGCTATGGAAGCCTTTTGAATCCACAAACTCCGTTAGTGTTTAGACAGGGCCATAAGCAAAGTGGAAGTTCTTTCCTCAACTTCTTTGATGACTACTTCTTTCTGCTGGGGTCTCGTCCAGAGATCCTTCATGTAGGGATACTTTTTGCCACAGTGTCTTGGCTTTCCATGCCTGAAATGCTCTCATAGGAATGCCATTAAGGGCTGATTCTGAGGTCAGAGTGATGTTTAAAGCAATTGTCATTCAATGAGTCTGCTGTATGGACTGCTTCCCATTTTGGAACATTCACTCCTTTTTAATTTTATCTGCTATTATTACCAAAACTTAATCCTATTTATATGAACACTTAACACCTGATGCTATCCATATGATCACTTTGATACTTATAACGGTGGGTATGGCCAGGGAGCTCTGTTCATTGCTCCAGGGTGAAGGGAGTGTCCAAGGTGACACCCAGGTTGGACATAGTAAATCTCTCTCTTTTTTTAAAGATTTATTTTTATTAATTTGAAAGTTAGAGTTACACAGAGAGAGAAGGAAAGGCAGAGAGAGAGAAAGAGACAGAGAGAGAGAGAGAGAGAGAGACAGACAGACAGAGGTCTTCTATCTGCTGGTTCACTCCCCAAGTGGCTGCAATGGCTGGAGCTGTGCTGATCTGAAGCCAGGAGCCAGGAGCTTCCTAAAGGTCTCCCACCTAGATGCAGAGGCCCAAGGACTTGGGCCATCCTCTACTGCTTTCCCAGGCCATAGCAGAGAGCTGGATTGGAAGTGGAGCAGCCAGGATTCAAATTGGCGCCCACTGGGATGCCGGCACTGCAGGTGGTAGCTTTACCCACTACGCCACAGTGCAGGACCCCCCTCTTTCTTTTTTATCAGAGGGGAGGTTTGTTCTGCTCTGTTGGCATAATCTCAGCTCACCCCCTCTCCTCAAGGGAGACCAGTGCCTGGGCACTAGCCCCGGTGAGTATAATATTCATCCACACTGCCACAAGAACCACACAAAGGATCTGTGCAGTCCTTATGTGAGCAGATTCCGCAGCAATTACCGTTACCAGGGAATCAGCCTTCCTGCTTTTTGTAACACACATTCGTGAAGATGTTTTAAAATAGTGACGGACAAGACTTGTCTAAAATCAGGGAATTTGAAGATGGTTGTATCACAGCATGACGAGGGGCCAGATAATGGGAGACACATTTTATAATCACTGCTTTTTTGTTAATGTAGGTGACATGGCAATCTGATGAATATCGTGAAATTCTTAAATTAGAAGTAAAGTTTTGGGTGCAGATCGTCGCTACACTCATTCGGTATTCTGGAGATTTTGACTTCTTAACTTCTACTTGCTTATTGTGGAACAATGAATTATACGTATAGAGCAGCAATTACATGCCAGTCGCAAGAATAAGATAGGTGTTTAATCTTTTTTATTTGACAGGTAGAGTTGTAGACAGAGAGAGAGAGAGAGAGAGAGAGAGAGAGAGGTCTTCCTTCCATTGGTTCACTCCCCAAATGGCCTCTATGGCCGGCGCTGCACCAATATGAAGCCAGGAGCCAGGTGCTTCTTCCTGGTCTCCCATGCAGGTACAGGGCCCAAGCACTTGGGCCATCCTCCACAGCAGAGAGCCAGACTGAAAGAGGAGCAATCGGGACTAGAACCTGGCACCCATATGGGATGCCAGCGCGCAGAGGATTAACCAAGTGAGCCATGGCGCTGGCCCTATTCATTTTTTAACCATCTGAAGTTTAGACAAACAACAACTCTGTGAGTTTTATTATCTCTAATTTACAGAAGCATAAATTAAACCTTAGAGAACTTTTTCAAGGACAACTAGGTAAGTAGCAAGTGTTGAGACACAAATACCAAAACTTACATTGATGGCAATGTTTCTCTTTAAATTTACATTCCTTTCCACTATCAAAAATAGACTGAAGGGGCCAGCACCGTGGCTCACTTGGTTAATCCTCCGCCTGCAGTGCCAGCATCCCATATGGGCACCGGGTTCTAGTCCTGGTTGCCCCTCTTCCAGGCCAGTTCTCTGCTGTGGCCCGGGAAGGCAGTGGAGGATGGCCCAAGTGCTTGGGCCCCTGCACCCCATGGGAGACCAGGAGAAGTACCTGGCTCCCAGCTTCAGATGGACGTAGCTCTGGCCATGGTGGCCATTTGGGGGAGTGAACCAACAGAAGGAAGTGCTCTCTCTCTCTCTCTCTCTCTCTCTCTCACACACTGTCTGTAACCCTACCTGTCAAATAAATAAACAATCTTTAAAAAAAAATAGACTGAAGTAAATTCTTCACATAAGTCACAGTTCTTTCCCTTTTAGATTATCTGTATGGGTAAATTACCATCTGTGGGGTTCCAAGGTTAAAGGCATAACAACACAATTCTGGAAGTTCTCAAGGCGTAGATGGATACCAGATACTCTGGGCGCGTGGTGAAGGAGCACATGGCTCCGGAACCTGGATATGTAGCTTCACAGCTCTCAGGTTCAGTCTCCATGCTTGCCTACTGAGATTAACAACTGCTGCCTCCAGGGTTGTTATGATAGCTCTTCTAGTGTTTGGATACCGCATTAATCCCAGGCAGTGTGTAAAAGATCACTAACAAGGCTAGACCAGACATTACTGAGAGAGGATTCATTACTCCTCCCTGCGTTCTCTGAAGACATCTCAACTCCTGAGGTTGAACCATCTGCAAAACAGACTGAGAAAGGACAGCAAAAGAGGAACTAGAGCTATTCAGTTTGGATCTTGATCATGAATGATTACTAAGAACATTTTTGAGCAAGAGAAAATTAAAGTGTGAAGAAAACGAAGCATTTTTTTCTAACAAATCAGTGTGGAGAAGATGCAATCAAAAGAAACAATCTGTCCAAATTCCACTGGGTAATTCCATCTGAATCATGCCTCATACATCAAAAAAGGAAATGAGCAACCTTACAAGGATTTAGTGGTAACGATGAGGAGGAGCCTGGGTCAAGAGGGAATCTGAGCTTAGCTCGTTTTGTTTTCCCCAATTATGTGAGCACCAAAAGGATAAAACAAAACAAAGCAAAAAGCCTTGCCTGTATGTCAAATATTTAAAATGGCTTCTCTTCCGACGAGGTGATGATGTTGCAGGAGGGCTGGGGTTGGTGTTCTATCAGT